AAACGTTCCTAATGTATCACAGTGTGTATTTCAATGTGTAGTCCTTTGTTCTTTAAGGAGGGGAGTATAAAAACTGAAGTCTAATCACGCCCTCCTCGTTCAGAATTGCCTATCTCTAATATGCTCTGGACCTTGCGCAATTAAACTTCTCTGCTAACCCCTCCGGAATTCGTAAGAGTTCTTTCGTTTTCCACAAGACCATATTTCAATAACCGTGTTGTGTGAAACCCATTAATTGTAAATTAGCCTTTAAGCTTTGTGAAAATTTAGCCTGTGAATCAAATAGTATTTGTGAAGGCAAAAAGCATGAAGTTGTTAGATCAAACTACTATCTATGACATTTGAACTTGTAGATTTTTAGAGGGACCAGAAAAAAGAGTAAAGCCAAAGGAAATTTTTGAAAATCTGCAGAGTGAAATGTTATATTGTTCAGTTTTATATTAAATGTTTGTACTATTGCATTTCAAGAAAGTATGTCCCGGATGAATTCTGTGGATTAATAAATACTTCTCCAGAGCTGATATTTTAGTTTGCCTGTTGCTGTAAAATGACATAGATTTTTTAAAAATATTTTATTAGTTTTCTATCATTACAAATCATACATGCTCAGTAAAAAACGTGATGTCTGGGTTCATTTGTTACTCAATATTACATCTTAGCTTCTTCATTGTGAGTCTGTTCAGTAAGCAAGGTTCTGTGCTTTCCTTGATCCTCTCTTCTTCCACTAATATTCTCATTTTCCCAACATTAAGCAAATACAGTTCTTGCTACTATCAATACATACAAAATTAGATATATACATTTTTCTACTGTTTGTATAAATAACAATAAACTCAATTTATAACATCTTTTCTAACCAACTTATATTTCAATTGTATTTGCAATTAAAATATTTTTATTAGATCAATGTAGATCCTGTTTTTCAAGCTCTTATTTAAATTTAATTTCCCATCAGTATTCGAGATATCTTTCTCAGTTATGATTTTCTCAAAGTTAGTTACATTTGGGTGTTCAAAA